GCTCTACCACTGAGCTATCTTCCCAGCCCTGCCTCTATCTTCTATACAGAATTTAAATACACATGGATGAAATGATAGGATGTGTTATAATGATTTTCCTCCCAATAATATGGAGGAGGGCTGGGTGCCAATGGCTCACACCTGTAATCCTAGTTACTCAGAAGGCTGAGAGCTGAGGATCGTGATTCAAAGCCAGCCTGGGCAGAAAAGTACATGAGACTCTTATCTCCTGTAAACTAGTCAGGAAAAACCACAAGTGGTGCTATGGCTCAAGTGGTAGAATGCTAGCCTTGAGCACAAAGAGGTTCATCAACAGCACCCAGGCTGTTTGAGTTCAAACCCCAGGACCAGCAAATAATAATAATATTAGTAATAATAATTATTATTATTATAGAAGAGGATGGGTATGGTAATAATCCCAGCACTAAGGAGGCAGAGGCCTGGGTTATACACTGATATCCTGTCCCAAAACATCAGTCATTAATAGTATCAGTCAAAGAATAATATATTGAGGAAAGAGGCAGGGAGTAGATTGGTACATGGATAAACAAGGTTGGCCATGAGTTGGCAACAAGTGTTGAAAGAATTTGTACAAAATAAATAATACATTTACATTTGTTATTACTCTACTTGTTTTTCTTTTTTTTTTAGTCAGTCGTGGGCCTGAACTCTGGGCCTGGGCACTGTCCCTCAGCTCTTCAGCTCAAGGCTAGCGCTCCACCACTTCAGCCACAGCGCTACTTCCAACTTTTTCTGCTGATGGGGTGCTGAAGAATTGAACCCAAGGCTTCATGCATGCAAAACAAGCACTCTACCACTGAGCCACCTTCCCAGTCCCTCTACTTAAAAAAAAAATTGCCAGTCCTGGGGCTTGAGCACTGTCTGGGCACTGTTCCTAAGTTTTTGCTCAAGGCTAGCGCTCTACCACTTGAACTGCAGCACCACTTCTAGCCTTTTCTGTTTATGTGGCACTGAGGACTCAAACTCAGGGCTTCATGCATGCTAGGCAAGCACTTTACCACTAAGCCACATTCCTAGCCCTACATTTTTTTAGGCAAGTTCTCCAAGTGTATCCCAGGCTGGCCTGGAATTCATGATCCTTCTGTCTCTGTTTC